TGGCTCTCCTTTGACATGCAGTCTCCTTCTTCTCTGTCAGAGGAACCGGCTTAGTACTGTTTCACACTCCAACTACATCCTGTCCTCTTAAGCAAGAGGTCTATAATGAAAATGTACAATTAAGTTTACTGTTTCAACAGCTTGTTAACCCTAAATTATTCACTTTCTGCAGCAAGAGAGAGGGAAGGTTAATAGGGCCGGTGCATAAGGAGGGAGGGAGGGGGGGGGGGGGTTGATGCTAGGGCCAACCTGGCTCTGGTGAGTCAGATCTGATGGCCAGAGTAAGACAGAGATAGAAACTGAGACTAAGGAGGGAGCTGAAATCTGACAGATCACAGTAGTTCTTTTAATCATGTAGGAAACAATTGACATGGAGTCTGTCAGGCTGTAGTTTGTCAAGCTGAAGGTAGTATGGGTGTAGTGCGGGGAGTGACTTATGTCTTGTAGTGCTGTCAGGAACAATTATACTGGATCACTGACAGAGAAACAGCGTGTGGCCTGATGCAACGAATACTTAGAAATGCTCAGAGTTGATAAGAATCCCTTAAGGAATAGTTTTACATAATGTTAAGTGACTGTAAATGAAACGACTGATTCCACTCTCATATTTGTGAATTAAATATGAAACGTCAGCGAGATTCTGGTTAGCCGTGTAGCGCAACAATCCTTGGTAAAAAGAAAGCTGCCTATACAAGCACCTCACAAATAAATACATTATTATATTTAGTTTAACCTGTACATTGCTGTAGTGTATTAACAACAATGTGATGTTTTACAGGGGTTCTGTGCCAAATCGTTTCTGACATGGGGGTCATGGTCATTGGTTGCCTAGCATCAGTTAAGAGCATCAGTTAAATAAATAAATTAAGATCAAGTTTGTGCACATTTTCAGGTGGTTTTCTTTTTGTTGTTGTTGTTTTTAATGCTGATCTTATAGTCTGTGATATGACAGTCTTTGTTCTGTGCTGAAAATGTGGTAGGAGAAGGCACATTTTGTTCTGTAATCAGGCTCACCCTCAGAAATGCTGACATCTTTCAGGCTGTGGTTGGACTGTGGTAGAACCAGGCACAATCATGTCTCTTATTGAAATCAAAGTTAAGAAGCGTAGCTAGAGTTCATTTATGTTATAAACTGGAAAGGAATCGATCATATCGCTGTACATGTGGAGTGTTTTGGGTGTGCGGGGATAGGATTAGCTGTACGCAGCTACTGTTATTTGTACAGCTTTTAGGAGATTAAAGGTATATACTTATACTGTATGTAATATATGCTATAAAGTATATTATTAAAAGGTGAAGTTACATATACCTGTCTACTGCTCAACGACAGCCATTACTCAGTCTGAGGGTGAGTCAGCACATGTGACAGCTAATCAGGGGTTTAAGCCGGGTGTGGCATTTTGTTGCTAACTTGCATTAGTGATGTCTCGATGTCTGTAAATACAACCTCAATTAGCGGAAATGTAAACAACACGCTCATGGCACAAGGGAAATAGATTGCTAGAAATCAACTTCCACGATCGCCCTTTGTGTGTCGGTTGTGGCAAATTATATATGCATGGCCTATCATTCATTAATGAAGGGACGCTGCATGCAGACATCATAAGCAGAGGCTCAGGACCAGGGCTTGTTGGGGAACAGAGGCAGTGCGGTCATCTCCTGCATTATGGATAAAGTTCCTTCACAGAGCTCACAAAGCCCATTCAGTCATCCTAACACGCCAGTTAAATCTTTTACGACGCTCTTCCCTGTTCCTACTATCAGGTAGCAACTTCTCTCATACCTCCAGGCTCCAGAACACTGGAAATTAGACAAAATATCCGTGTCAGAGCAGAGATGCCAAATGCACAGCGGACGTCCCACCGGTTCAACTTCATGTTACTTGGTTTACTTGATCACTTCAGTTTGTTATCAGATGAAGATGGAGTGCACATTAAAGTTTCACACAGACTTAATCAGTAAGGTGAGCCTGGCACTCCTTTCTTGATATGAGTTTTTGGTGACAATGAAGTGAGGGCATTAATAATTGAAGTGCAAAGCAGACAATCGGGCTAAGCCTATGTGTCCATCCTAAAGCGCCCATCCAGATAAATTGCATGATACAGTATCACACAACATGTTTCGATAAAAAAGTAAAGTTGATCCATATTGCTGCATCCTTACACTTAAAGGTGACAATACTGCTACTCTAACCTCTGCTACAATGACTTGAACTACTGAAATCAGCTCCAAGTCATTTTCATTGTAATTCTTCTGTAACCTCTCTCTTTATTCCCTTCATTTTGAGCATACATACGGACAACCCCATACGTCATTCTCAGTAATTTTATGATTTTCACGATTTTCACACATTACCATATGACTTGGGTTTATTGCTCAAATAATAATAATAAGGGAACAGAACTTTTCCAAACAAACTTGTATAAAATAATGTGTTACACCATTTGTTTTGCTTTTTACTGATAATAGAGCTATATTTTGAATGCCAGTATTTTTGAAATAATATGAAGACCTCTTTCATAGCCACATTGCCTTCCAACAACTGATGTTGTTTTTTATTTTCGTCTCATTTTCAGCTAGGGCTGGGAAATATTTCAAAATTGTGATATAAGACTAGATATCTTAATAAAAGTGTTTTCTTATCCTGGTTCTAAAGGCTGGTTTATGTTAGGTGCTGTTTTTTGAAGTAACCAGATTGACTAGCTTTTGTATTATTTGTGCTTTACCCATTTTGTGAAAGCACCAATAATGTTTATCCTACAATATTGTTGCAATATTGATATATTAAGATATGTTCCCATGATATTTGATGTTCTCCTTATTGCCCACCCCTACTGTCAGCCATCAAGGACTGCTGGGCATTATTGGCCTGTCCGATCTGTGCTCTCCTAGAGAAACAGAGATACGGTGTCTCTCTCTTCCTCCCTCCGCCCTTGAGTCCAGGTAATCTATTTGTCACATTATCTCGTACTCCTGCTGTCCCGACGCAGCACATCCAGCAGTCAGCGTCGACCTGTTGGCTCACATTTCCTTCCTGTTTACCAGTCACTTCTCCTGACCTGCTGGGGTCACAGCTCCATTGTGTATGGCTTGTGTTTCCTACTGGCTTCCCCAACCTTGTCCCACTTTCAGCCTCCCATACCCCCCACCCCCACTCCTGTTCTCACCCCTCCAGAGAGCCGGCCAGAAACTGATAGCAGTAGACATGGGTACATGATGATCTGATAAGTGTTGTGTCTCTCTACATGTCTATAGTGTTTTTGTTTTGTCTGAAAATGTGTTTAAATGACATGCTCTAAAATGCATATGCATGGAAAAGCAAAATGCAGGCATTATTCAGGCTTATAATTAAAGTCAGTTTTTTGGTTTACTTCACAAATTCTTAATACGGATTTACAATACTAAACTCTGCAGGGGTCTCTCTTATTTTGGTCTTTGCTCTTACTACTGCAAGTTACTTACTACTAATTGTAACTTGCATGATCTCAAAAGCTTGTTTCGCTTTATCTTATATGTTTTATTTTGAATATTAAGATTTGTCCTTCATTGAGGTCTATACTGATAATGCCCAGGAGGTAACTTATTTGAACATGTTAAATTGCTAATAAATCTATATGGCTTCATGACAGTATCACTTATTAATGACATGTATTATATGTTAGGACAAACACAGGCAGTGTGTGCCCTGCTGAAGAAGGAACACTCTGAAACCCTCTCTGATTATTATTTACAGCACACCCTCTGAATCTAGCAGCAGCATCCTACACTTGTGATCCTGACCTCATGCTAATACCAGGCTATGACCCACAGCTGTGAGTGGCAGGTGTGTGCTGTAAACACCAGGTTCCCCCTGTAATATAAAGGTAATTGAAATGACACTTAGGTGGTGCCACCGGCAGAACGTGTTGCTCTGTATTTTAGTGCCTCTAGTTGGTGCGTAATAGGATAAAGCAGTTGTTAATTTTGATCCCATGAATCCTGTAAATGTAGTGCATAAAAACGATATGCTATTTACAGTCTCTTGGAGGGAGGAAGCCAAGCTGTAAGAGCGTCAGTCTTTTGTCTGAGAGTTTTGGTTATAATGATTGACTCTTTAATATATGCTGAGCAAGCTCTCCTGCACAAGAAAACCTGGAAGGCTAGCATCCTTAGCTATAGCTTTCGGCAGAATTTGCATCTTCTTTTGCACACACAATCCCTGATGTGCGTGTATTGGGGATGATGTGTTTGCATGGATGGCGGTCTGACCTTATATTTGATTTTTGCAAATGCATTGGTTTTTGTGTGACCTGTCTGGGTGTGTATGTGCTGCACGAAGGTTCAGATGGGTTTATTTACAAAGATGAGGTCAGGTGTCACTCGATCCAGCCGCGGTGACTCTCAGGTGGTCATCAAGGTCACCTCCTTTGCTTTTTCCCTGCGCTAGCTCTGAATCTATAACCTCCCATACACACAAAAAAACCACACCGAAACACACCTGTAATGTATACACCTCAAATAGAAAGCCTGTGTGTTCAGGACACTTCTAATATACCTTACACTGTCTGACATTCAGTCCCATTTAACGCTGTGGAGACTACAAAAATGTGAAGAAAACCGTGTTTCTCTTGTACAAAGGCACATCTGAACGATGATGTATATGGATGTCCACTTCCTATTGGTTACTAAAACCATCTTGTGTATATGACACATTTCAACACTCCCTTCATAACCATATTGCATTTTTTTCATGCCACCCTGTGTGATCTGAGTATAAGACATACAAAAACATGCAAATATGTACACTTAATTCAAAATAACAAAGAACAGCCACAGGATTTGGATTTTATAAATTTTATTTTCTCAGTAATTTGGGAGTTTTTTTATACATTTGGGAAATATAGCTTTATGATCTGTCTAAAACTTAGGAAAAAGACACAAAAAAATAATAATCATGATGTGAATGTAGATGTCTATGGACCAGAGTAAGTCTTGCAAAAAAAAAAAAAAAAAGTAAATATCTAACAGTATGGAAATTGATTGACTAGAGCCCTTGAAGCAGTGGGGGTAGGGGTAGGGGGGGGGGGTCAGATCAGGTTGGAGAGATGGAGTCCAGTTGTTTAGGACAAGATCATGGCCTGGAACTCTGTGGAGAAAATAAACAGCGATAATGAGATTATTATTTCTCACCTGTCCGACACCTGTCTCAGTGTAACTCTAAACTGTGAGTATTTTTTATAAAGTACCAAAAAATATGTGAACCCATCCAGAGAAAGAGAGCGAACAGGTCTCAAAAGCATGTCATTGACACAATTTTGTCTAACCAATTGAACTCTAATATGACATACACTCAATAGAAACACTTTGCTGGTGTCCGTTTTGAGATCCTAGGACAGAACAAGTGTGAGGGTACATAGAGGGTGTCACTATGATTGCTGCTCATCTTACTTCAGTGATAGCCTTTATAACTGTCTCTCTTTCCTGCACAACAAGACTACTTTAGGAATATGACACATTTAGTGAATCTGCATTCTAATGTAATATCTAATAAATGTGCAGAATTGTTCCTCAGCGTAATTGTTTTGTAATTACACACAAACATGCTTGTCTTGTATTATGTGTATATGAAATTATTGGACATCCGCTCACCATCTGCTCCAATGCGGCCGTCACTGTCATCATCAGCAGCGCTCAGGAAGCCCTTGGTCTCCTTGTCTGTCAGAACGCGAGCCCCTGGGGAAAACCTCTGGAGGAAAAACCTGTCGTACAGAGAAAGACAAAGAAAACCTCAAGTTAGAGGGAACCGCTGGATGATGTGTTGTGAACACAACTGCAATGGGCCACATTTACAGTCCCTGTCCCATGTCATCCTGAAAGTTGGATAAACTAACAATGGACACAGACTTTCCATTCGCTGCATCCCTTCTTGTGAAATAATATGCAGAAAACTGAATGGAAATCTGATAATGTTCCAAAAAGACTTCAAACTATCCCGCTGTGAAGATACTACAGTTAGTAAACTGGCAGTTCACTCACTTGAGCTCTTCCTCCTCAACAAAACCATTGCCATCATTGTCCAGGATCCCGAAAATCTTCTTCACGTCCGCAGGGCTCTTCTTGGTGAGCCCACACAGCGTGAAGAACTTCTTGGGACAGAAGGAGTCTGGTGCTGGGGGAAATAAAGAAAGTAAAGTCAGGAACAGCATCATGAAAAAACACTTGACTAAAAGGAAATCATTAGCAAAAGCTCGTTTTTTTCCTTTAATGAAGGTTTTTATTTTAATGACATTACTTTTACAATTGGTCTTTTCTGTATTTGGATATTAGTTATTCTTCCTGTTTATCTATGTCTTAATTTAATGTCCTCGTGATTTCCACACTACTTGCACAATTGTAAGACAAATGAAAATGAGGATGTGCTCAGTTATAAAAAAAATAAAATATTTCTCATCAAAGAAGAAAACAGGCATGGCATTATGAAGTGGTGTAATGCACCTATCCTTGAAGAAAGGGCACAAAATAGGAAGAAGGTATTTGTCCTGCATGTGGATGTTTTTTTATTTAAGGGTTTGAGAGGCCAGTTTTTATTGATCTCTGACCTCCAGTGACACCAACAGTATCATATCTGTTATATCTTTAATTAACACATTCTGCCAATCCATCCTGTCAAAATCACCTCAGATTGTTTGATTACTGTACTGATCTAAGCCCAATGTGCATACATGTATCTTTAACTGTTCATTTGTGTCTGTCTTCCGGCTTTCACAGAAAGAGATAACCCTATTGTCTGGCTCCAGTACAACGACTGTATAGAATTAAAAAAAGAGAAATATCTAACAAAGAGAGCAATAATGATATTGGTGGAAGACGATACCTTGGCAGTCCTTGATAGCACTGTCGATGGCATCAGCGGAAAGGATAGATGAGAGCGACATTGTTTTCCTGTAGGAGGAACCACCATGGTGAATTATTAACACATTAAGCCCAGTCACAGCAGCAAACTCTCAAACTTGACACTGATGGAGAACGAAATGTTTGCAGGTGACAATGACACTGAAAAGTTACTGCAGCGACCGGCCATGAATCTCAATAAGTTCCCTTTTTAAAGTATTTTTTGGAAAAGAAAGGATATTATCTAATCCAACGGACTGAAAATAATAGAGACAACTTTCCCTGGTCTTTTGTCACCTTGTGCAAATAAGTCTCCCCTTTTACGCACGGAATTACTGCACCTGACATCTGACTAGGAAGCAATTAAAGTGCTCTAAATGTACAGTAGCGAACCTTTCCTTAAGAAAAAGTTTTAAAACAAAAAAGAAATCAGCCACTTCCCATCAGAAGCAACCTTTTTCCGAGTCCACACTTACCTTGTTTCGGTGGTTTTCTCCCGGTCGGTGATGTAGCAGAGAGGTAAGGCTGTGGTGACTGCTGTCCGTCAAGGCGGATTTATATAGGTCTGATTGCAGTGACAAAGGGGATTGCTTGAGTTACCTGTCTATGGATCAAATTCTAACTGCCCGCCCCTGATCCAATTTCTCAGCTAACTAATTAACCTTTACTATTGATAACGCCCAGGGCAGGAAGACCGGACCGTGGACATTTGTAGCGCCCTTGTAAATAGCAAATTACGTTAAAAAGAGCGTTCTTCTCCCCTTTCACCACTCCCTCCTCCTGTCATCCCGGCCCGCCCCCTCCTCCTCTCACCTTTACAATTGTACAGTACAGTAAATGCAGGGAGGATACTGCAATCTCTCTCTCGTTTTTCTCCCTCTCTTGCTGTTTCTGCAACCCCCCCTCCGCCTCCTCACCCCACCCTTATCCTTTCATGCAGATATCCTTTTACAGGCAGCAGTCCTAAAATGAGCACATCTCAGCCATGCACATCCCACTGAAAGCGTGCCCCAGCTATCATTACATTTGAGGTGAGTGAATGTGGGTTAGGGTTAAATGTCAGCTGACAATGCACTTTTCATTGCATATTTGTTTGCAATTTTAATTTGAGATTATTGAGACACCTGAGACTGAGAGGTCAGCCCATGGACATCCTCTTGTCTGGCACTCTGTGGTGCTTCACCTGTCCACAAATGCCTCGGACATTAAACATCTACCTGCCCTTGTTAGGATGCTGTTTTAACAGATTTAAAGGTTCAATATGATAATATATTTACAAATCTGAAATAACCCTAAGCCAGAGTAGGTCTAGTGTAGGAATACTATGTTACAAGTAAAAGTCCTGCAACGAGTAAAAGTACAAAACTATTAGCATCAAAACATAAAAAACATACTAAAAGTATCATAAGTAAAAGTACTCATTATGCAAATGGCCCATTTCAGAATAATGTTTTTATTATAATTATTGATGCATTAAAGTGTTATCAAAGCTGCTAAAGTTGCAGCTAATTTGTATTTTTTTGTTTACTGCAGTAAACTAAAGTCTTATTTAAGTGTTGATTATATTTCAAACAAAATGTGTAAAGTTGCATACAATGGAAATACTCAAAATTGTATTTAAGTAGGTACATGTACTTAGTTCCATCCTCTGCCCTAAACACATAACATGCTCATCAGTGAATGTCAGGGAAGCCAGTGCCCTCTAACCTTCTCATTCTCTCACACTGACCAGGCGACAGCCTCACTAAATTGCTTTATCAACTGTGCTGATGAAGGGACCCGAGGTCACATTCGGCTGTCGGTGTCCCATCCCTCCTGGATGTTGATGATGATGCAGAACGCCCCAGGTAAACACATGCCCCTTTCAAATGCAGATATAGCAGTCAGGGGTCACCCAGGGCTGAGCACTGGCCTTGAGTTTTGGATCATTTGTCCCATTTGGTCTGTGTGTTTCTTCCAGTTTTCTGGAGGCCAGAGCAGCACACTGGACTTTGTTGTTTGTCCAATTTTCCCAGGTGCAAAGTGACCAATTCAGGTTGTCTTTTTTGAGGGCATTTGTGGCCCACAGCGGACACATTCAGGGGTCATTAAGCAGGGTCCTGAGAGTGTTCACTGCAGCAGCACACAGGAAAAAAGGTTACTTCCTTCAATGAAATAGGTTTAGCTGAAGGTCTGTATATGCAGCAGCAGCATTATGGAGCAGCGAGGGACAGATTTGCATGATGACAGGAGAGAAAGTATTTATGTTTTTAACATTACCAGCTGATCACTACATCTTATTTCAATAAATCAAATCAGGTCCCACCGAGATTTGAACTCGGATCGCTGGATTCAGAGTCCAGAGTGCTTACCATTACACCATGGCACCGTCTATTACAGGTCATTCCTACAATATTATTAAGGGGAGACTTTGGGACACCCTTAATTATATAACAAGAGGTAGGGGTACAGCAGACCCCGGCCAAATCCCTCATTAGAAGTCAGCACCTTTTGTGCGTAAAGTAGGCAACGGGGAATGTTGACAGTGCTGCTTTCTAGCAAGCGTCAGCTGGCGACCGTGAACAGCAGGTAATGTTGGCCTGATGCTGTGTCATGATACTTAATCATTATTTAAAGGTCTGACGACAGAAAAGGGAATTAGTTTGAAATCGGAAATGTTTTGTATCGATAGAGTTTTTGTATGATTGATATGGGCATGAACTTTACGCACAGTAAGCCTACGTGTTTAATTCATTGACAGCATCCTGGCCTCTTTCATTATATAATTAAAGCTTGTATCTCCAGTAGTTTGTCATTGTCAACCCTCCCTGCACCTAATCATGGTGTCAACTTGATAACGGGGCACTTCAACACGTGACGTCAGATAGTGCAGAACTAGTAAAGCTGGACTCCTGAGAAACTAAATCATCTCCTCCAGCCAGGCTGTGTAAAGAAGAGACTGACGACACCGGATCGAGAGCATGGTGCGACTTTGCTGACAGCCGGTTCATGATGTCATCCGCCATGATGATACCTCCCAGACTATACTGTTACTCGCTATCACTTATTTAATTACATTCGTTAATGTTCTTTACACGACTCACTCCTGAACATGTAGATTGGCCGGAGCCGATCCTCCTTTGTCTTTTATCGCCTTCTTTGTTTTTCGGAAATAAGACTTTATTTAACTTATTCAGACCGTCCTCCTTGTCGACCTGCAATCCATGTCAACACTGCAACATGTCAATTTATGCATTTTAATCGTATGTCCAATATTTACATCATTATTTTTAAACAATTAGATGACATCTCATTCAAACGACATTTTAACATTTCTTCACTTCTTCACAAAAAAAATAGGAATTTGGGCTACAGATATTTAAACAACATTTTTCAGAATTGCCCCTTAACTTTAGTGTTATTTGTATTTTTTATTTTGCAGTTAATGCATGAGTTAATATGGGCCTTACAACCTAAAAGACTATAAAGGAACGCTTCAAATATAGGACTAATATGTCCATGTCGTTGTCTTTATTGTCAGATAATTTAAGGGGATCTGTTCCAAAGTCTATTACTGTTAAAGGACGTTACACCATCTTGTGGCAGGGGATGGCACACACAGCCTAGTGTGTACTGACTAAACTTAACCTGTGTGTGTGTGTGTGTGTGTGTGTGTGTGTGTGTGTGTGTGTGTGTGTGTGTGTGTGTGTGTGTGTGTGTGTGTGTGTGTGTGTGTGTGTGTGTGTGTGTGTGTGTGTGTGTGTGTGGCAATTCATACAATTTATTGTATTTTTTATTGACTCATCGATATCTCTATAATGATTGGACAATCTTTAAAGAATATTAAACATAAGGCTTTACCTTTTTTTAAGTTATTATCAGTAGATTAACACTTGCATTTGTTGTCTTGCATAGGTCACAAAGACTTTGTATAAATACTTTTAAATAAACTTAATAGCTGCCATTCTTTAGTATCTATATTTCATTATTTTGATAAATTAAATAATTCATACAACGTCCATATGGACACATTTCATCCATTTTCTAATGAGAGAGAGAGAACTTGCCCTCAGTATGTAGGTATATTTAAACCAAACATAAAGCATTAAAGCACAATAAGACTGCATCAAAAGAATATTTATTCTCCGGTTTTTTTAATCGTTTGTACCTGGAAAGTGCATCATAGATTTTACAATAAGCAAAATTCATATTTAAGACATGAACACAACCGAGCGACATTCACACTCATCATTTTTGTTTGGACAATGTATTGCATAGGAGGAAAAATCTCTTAAGCAAATGTATAAAAATTATTTATATTCAGATGAAAACGAGGGGAGGTTGACATCAGAGCAGGTGTCGTTGGTCAGTTGCCACTTTATTGCTTAACCATGGCAGCGAACTCTGCAGGGAGACAGGAAAACACAGTTAGGGTCTCTAGTTTTCACCACAGAATGATGTAAGCACTCTGCAGGAGAGAAAGAGATGAGAGTACGTACCGTCTGCGCCAATCATGCCATCACCGTCGGAGTCTCCGGCCTTCAGGAGTTTCTTGGTCTCGGCATTGGTCAGCGCGCGTGCACCTGCCTTGAAGGTCTGCAGGAACAGCCTGAAGACAGCAAACACATCTGGTGGTTAGTTCAAGGACCCCAGCTACCATTGGTTTTAGACCAAGTGCCTTACTTTATGTTGAAAAGTGTTGGGGGACATAGTAGGTCAGAAGATGTTTATAACTGGTCATATATTTGTAGCCAATGTATTGGGGGAGGGGGGGGGTGTCAGTTTGAGATCAGAGTATATCATTTTCAAGTTAGGGAAAAACCAAGGAACAATGTCAAGACAGTTTCTTAAGTCACTGGTCAGTGCATGATTTTTGGTCATTTTTTATAATGAGTAAGCTGGGGGAGCATTATTTTAGTTGAGGTCAATGGACATTTATTGATTCTATGTACATTGTGAAAGTTTTTTCTTATTTAGTTAACATTTCTTGGTGTAAGATGTTTTTCAGATTTTATATGTAGGTTTGAAAAACAAATAGGGACATAATCCCCAATGTCCTCCTCAGCATGCTTAATGTAAATTACACCTATGGCTGACTTAAAAATCCATGTTATTACAATTGCTGTAGGAAGCTTTACATTCCTTCAGTCCCCAACAATACACCCATTATTTACTTGGCTTATAGATATAACTTTTTATTGTTTTATGAAGCTGATATCAGAGCATGCAACAATGGTGTTTGTGCATTAAGTGTGTCTGGTGTGTGTCTTACTTCAGCTCCTCCTCCTCAATGAATCCACTGTTGTCCTGGTCAATGATGAGGAAGGCCTTCTTCAGGTCTTCTGCGGACTTGCCAGCCATGCCACATGTCTTGAAGAACTTCTTGTGGTCGAAGGAGTCAGCAGCTGGAAAACATATTTTAACATCGTTAGCAGCATAAAGGCATGCTGCAATGCTGCAGGCACCAGGACTTTTTCAGGTCGAACTTGCCAGCATCTGAAATGAATGCAAGTCGTTACTCAGACTGCATCCACATACACAAGCTGGACAAAAAGCGACCTCCAAACACAGAGCCAAAGAGGGAGGGCTGTGATTGTTTTTGTGTGAGTGTAACTTGAGGAGTCACCTTTGCACCCTTCCAGGGCTGCAGCGACATCAGCGTCTTTAAGTAGACTTGCGAAGGCCATGTCGATCTGCAGAAATACAAACATATATATTATTATTATTTTTATGTATTTATTTGTATTATTATT